ATTTCGGGGTCCCCCTGTCACAGCAGCTGGCACGTGGAGGACTTCCCTCCGCCCGCGCCCGCCGCGGCGCTGGGGTCCAGGTCGGGGGGCAGCGTCCCCGGGGCCCCCCAGACGTTGAGCTCCTCGAAGACGCCGGTCTCGATCAGCTCCTCCTGCCAGGGGATGGGCACGGTGCCCGAGGCGAAGGCGTCGCACAGCGCCGCGTCGCCCGCGTCCAGCTCCACGCCCTTCACCGTGGAGAAGGCCCCCACGTCGCCCAGGTCCTTGGCGTAGACGCGCCGGGGGTCCGGCACGAACGGGGGGGGCACCAGGCCTTGGGGTGGGGTGGGGGGGGGACACCCCGTTGGTTTTGGGGTTGGCGCGGAGGCGCTCGATAGCCCCAGTGCAGACCAGTTACCAGGGGAACCCCAAGGAACATCTCAAGAACCACCAGGAACTCCCCAAAACTCATCCCAGGGCTCTCAAAAACCTCCCAGTATAGCCCAGTATGGTCCAGTATCTCCCAGTTACCAGGGGAACCCCAAGGAACATCTCAGGGCTTCCAAGGACATCCCAAGAACCACCAGGAACTCCCTAAAATTAATCCCAGGCCTCCCAGAAACCTCCCAGTATGGTCCAGTTACCAGGAGAACCCCAAGGAACATCTGAGGGCTTCCAAGAACATCCCAAGAACCACCAGGAACTCCGCAAAATTCATCCCATGGTTCTCAGAAACCTCCCAGTATAGCCCAGTATGGTCCAGTATCTCCCAGTAAGCACAAGAGCGCCAAGGAACATCTGTGAACTTCCAGAAACCTCTCAAGAACCACCAGGAACTCCCCAAAATTCATTGCAGGGCTCCCAGCACTCAGTGGAAACTGCTGTTGGACCTTCAGCATTCATTGGAGACCCCAACACCCACTGGAGCCCCCAAAACCCATCAGAGACCCCAACTCTTGACCACCCAACACTCAATGGAGACACCACCATGAACCTTCAAAACCCACTGGAGACCCCAACACCCATTGGAGACCCCGACTCCTGACCACCCAACACTCCATGGAGACACCACCATGAGCACCCAAAACCCCCTGGAGACCTCAAAACCCATTGGAGACCCCAAAACCCATTGCAGACTGACCCTACTCCTGACCACCCACCCAATGGAGACACCACCACGAGCACCCAAAACCCACTGAGCACCCAAAACCCACTGAGCACCCACCCAACGCTCAATGGAGACACCACCATGAACATTCAAAACCCATTGGAGACCCCAACACCCATTGCAGACCCCAACTCTTGACCACCCACCCAATGGAGACACCACCACGACTACCCAAAACCCCCTGGAGACCCCAACTCTTGACCACCCAATGTCCTTTGAGGGTCCCAACTCTTGACCACCCAACACTCAATGGAGACACGACCATGAACTTTCAAAACCCATTGGAGACCCCAACACCCATCGGAGACCCCGACTCATGACCACCCACCCAATGGAGACACCACCATGACCACCCAACCCCCTTTGGAGACCCCAAAACTCCCTGGAGACCCCAACTCTTGACCACCACCCAACACTCCATGGAGACACCACCACGACCACCCAAAACCCCCTGGAGATCTCAGCTCCTGAGCACCCACCGCCCCATGGTGCCCCACCTCCACCACCACCCCCTGGAGCCCCATCTCCTGCCCCTTGACCACCCTCTCCAGGGTTACCGGCCTCGAGGCGCCCCCAGTTGATGCTCCTGAAGAAGGGGTGGGCCTTCAGCTGCGCGCAGTCGTTGTCGCGGAAGCCCAGGCGGGCCTGGGGGTCCTTGGCCAGGAGCCCCTCGCAGGCCTCGCGCGCCGCCGCGCTGAACTTCTCCGAGTAGGTCACCGGGTCGTTCAGGATGCGCCGCGTCACCTCCTTGTTCTCCACCTGTGGGGACAACGGGGAGAAAACACGGCGGGGAGGTCCTGGGGGTCCCGGTTTTTGGAGGTTTTGGGGGGTTCTGAAGGTCCTCAGGTGGTTTCTTGGGGGTTTGGGGGGTTCTTGGAGGTTTTAGGGGGTTTCTGAAGGTCCTCAGGTGGTTTCTTGGAGGCTCTTGGGGTGTTCTTGGGGGTTTGGGGGGTTCTTGGAGGTTTTGGGGGGTTCTGAAGGTCCTTGGTGGGTTTCTTGGAGGTTCTTGGGGGGTTCTTGGGGGTTTTGGGGATTTCTGATGCTCCTTGGGTGGTTCTTGGGGGGTTTCTTGGAGATTCTTGTGGGATTCTTGGGGGTTTGGGGGGTTCTTGGAGGTTTTAGAGAGTTTCTGAAGGTCCTCAGGGGGTTCTTGGAGGTTTTGGGGGGTTTCTGAAGGATCTGGGGGTTTCTTGGAGGCTTTGAGGGCTTTTCTAAGGATCTTGGGGGGATCTTTGGGGGGTTTATTGGAAATTTTGGAGTTTCTGAAGGACCTGGGGGATTTCTTGGAGGTTCTTGAGGGTTTTCTGAGGGACCTGGGAGGTTCTTGGAGGTTCTTGGGGTTTTCTGAAGGTCCTGTGAGGTTTCTGGGGTCCCTGAGCTGAATTTTGGGCAGTTCCTGGTGGCCCTTGGGAGTTTCTGGGAGGTTTTGGAATCCCTCAGAGGTTCCTGGGGGTTCCTGTGGTTCCTGGGCTGTACTGGTCTGTACTGGTCTGTACTGGGGGGCTCTGGGGGTGGGGTCACCTTCTCCCCCCGCCGGCGGAAGGGGCCTTTGGCCTCCAGCATCTCGTAGACCGTCACCCCCAGCGTGAAGTAATCGACCGACCAATCATAGTCCTCGTTCTTCAGCAGCTCGGGGGCCATGAACCCTGCGGGGACACCGAGGGGACATCAAGGGGACATCGAGGGGGGACAGGGGACACCAAGGGGACAGGGACGTCGAGGGGACACCGAGGGGCCCAGGTGACACAGGAGGGACCAGAGGTGACACAGGAGGGACCAGAGGTGACACAGGTATCTGGGGGGGCTTCCCATGTCCTCACTGTACCGAAGGTTCTCCCCAGTGTCCCCCTGTCCCACCAGTGTCCCCAGTGTCCCCAGTGTCCCCCCAGTGTCACCCAGTGTCCCCCCAGTGTCCCCGGTGTCCCCTGTCCCCACCTGGGGTCCCGGCGTAGCCGCGGGTTTTGCTTTCTCCATCCTTGAGCTCCACGGCCAAGCCCATGTCGGACAGACGGACGTGGCCTGGGCACCGGTGAGCAATAGTGACCACCGGGGACCACCAGTGACCACTGGTGACCACTGGTGACCACCAATGACCAGCGGTGACCACCAGTGACCAGCAGTGACCACCAATGACCAGCAGTGACCACCAATGACCAACAGTGACCAACAGTGACCACCAGTGACCACCAGTGACCACTGGTGACCACCAAAGACCACCAATGACCACCGGTGACCAACAGTGACCACCGGTGACCAACAGTGACCAACAGTGACCACCAGTGACCACCAATGTCCCCATGTCCCCCTCATTTCCCACATCCCCCAATGTCCCAAATGTCCCAACATCCCCAAAATCTCCAATGTCCCCAACATCTCCAATGTCCCCAACATCTGCAATATCCCATCCTCAATGTCCAACTGTCCCTAATGTCCCCAATATCCGAATGTCCCCAACATCTCCAGTGTCCCCAATGTCTAAATGTCCCAACATCTCCCATATCCCAATGTCCCCAGTGTCCCCATCTCCAATGTCCCCAATGTCCCTGATGTCCCACCAGTGTCCCCAACATCTTCAACATCTCCAATATCCCGATGTCCCCAACCTCCCTAATGTCCAAATGTCCCCAATGTCCCCAATGTCCATTGTCTCCAACATCTCCAATGTTCCCACTATACCAATGTCCTCAATGTTCCCAATGTCCCCAACATCTCCAACATCTCCAATGTTCTCAATGTCCCCAGTGTCCCTTTATCCTCCCCATGTTCCCAATGTCCCCACTGTCCCCATGTCCCCAGTGTCCCTTTATCCTCCCCATGTTCCCAATGTCCCCACTGTCCCCATGTCCCCAGTGTCCCTTTATCCTCCCAATGTTCCCAATGTCCCCACTGTCCCCATGTCCCCAGTGTCCCTTTATCCTCCCAATGTTCCCAATGTCCCCACTGTCCCCATGTCCCCCCAGCGTTCCCGTGTCCCCACCGGCATCGTCCAGCAGGACGTTCTCGGGTTTGAGGTCGCGGTAGACGATGCGGTGCTGGTGGAGGTGCTCCAGCCCCAGCAGGATCTGCGCCGTGTAGAAAACCGCGCGCGGCTCCGCGAAGCCGGGGTTCTCCTCGTCCACGTTGTAGATGTGGTACCTGGGGGCATCGGGGACATTGGGGACATTGGGGACACCACAGGAACACTGGGGACGTCAGGGACATTGGGGACACCATGGGGATATGACAGGGACATGGTCAGCACACGCGGCTCCATGAACCCCGGGTTCTCCTCATCCATATTGTAGATGTGGACACCTACAACGTACCTGGGGGACATTGGGGACATAGGGGACACCACAGGGACATTGGGGATATTGGGGACACCTTGGGGACATTGGGGACACCATGGGGACACCATTGGGACATGACAGGGACATGGTCAGCACACGTGGCTCCATGAACCCCAGGTTCTCCTTGTCTGTGTTGTAGATGTGGTACCTGGGGACATCAGGACACCACGGGGATACCATGGGGACACTGGGGACACCATGGGGACACTGGGGACACTGGGGACATTGGGGACATTGGGGACACTGTGGTACCTGGGGACACCGTGGGGACATGGCAGGGACACGATCAACATGTGTGGCACCAGCACAGTGCCAAGGTCACACCAGGGTCACACCACAGTGGCACCAAAGCCATGCCAAGGTCACACCAAGGTGACACCAAAGCCACATCAAGGTCACACCAGGATGACATCAAGGTCACACCAATGCCATGCCAAGACGACTCCAAGGTCACACCAAGGTGACACCAAAGTCATACCAAGGTCACACCAGGGTCACACCAAGGCCACACCAAGGTCATACCAGGGTCACACCAAAGCCATGCCAGACCATGCCAAAGCCACTCCAAGGCCACGCCAAGGTGACACCAAAGCCATGCCAAGGTCACACCAGGGTCACACCAAGGCCACATCAAGGTCACACCAAGACCAATCCAAGGTCGAGGTCACACCGAGGCCACCCCGCTGTCCCTGAGGCCACCCCGCTGTCCCCAGGGCCACCGCAGCCCGCGTACCGCAGGTCGCCGCCGTTCATGATGGTCATGACGAGGCAGAGGTCGGTCTTGGTCTGGAAGGCGCAGGCCAGGGACACGATGAAGCGGCTGTGGACACGCGCCAGGATCCGCTTCTCCACCAGCGCCGCCTGGGGACACGACGGGGACACTTTGGGGGCACGCTGGGGACAC